CTTTGCCCTTCTGGTGAAGTGCATGGGAGAAAAAGAACTTTGCAAAAAGGGAATAGGAAGACTGAGGAAGACTGAGGCAACTTTAGTCACCCCCAGTTTTCCCTAATTCTGAATAATTTTTAAAACAATGTGATATTAAATATAATACAAAATGAGAAAAATGTACTAGTCTTTCATCATTTGCTTCCAAAACATTTGATGGACATGCGATGCAATCTGCTTTTATGTTCCAGTTGTATGCTGGGATCAAACAGCAAAATGTGACTAACTAAATAAGTTTTGTTATTGAGAAGGAATCCAGCACATCCTATTGTCTTCTTTTAATGGTAGAAAAAGAATTTCATAAATACTATTTTACATTAGGTCAGGTAACAGTACTACTAGCACCCTTTAGATTTATCTGGGAAGCCCATTCTTATCACTCTGATACATGCAAGGATTTTCTTCTATCAGAATATCCCACCAGCAGCTCTAAGGAAAACTCTGTTACCTTTCTTTGCCTCTTTGAAGCTGACATAGTGATTCTAAGTGTCCTTTTTACTACTATGGAAATGTAGGATGTTAGACAATAATGTTGAACATTTTCCATCTCACATCATGAGACCTAGGAAACATGAGGCTTCTAAGGTTCTAAGAGTAATGCCATCATGGTATAACTGGCTTCTGGCTCAAGCAAGGACCATGTAACAAACTTCTCGTGAGAGTTAGGTATGGTCAGTATTGATGGCATATGATATGTAACAGAATGACTGAAAGCCCATTCCCAGTAAAGAGCCTGCCTGGGATGCTGTACTATAGGCGAACACATTTTCCTCTCCTGTTAGAGCTGCTTTCAGATGCACATTCCCAATGCACCTTCTATATGTGTGCCTTGATATATTGTTCTGACCTCTTCTTCACTCTCCTAGCAAATGAATTACTTATAATTCTTTTCATAAAGAGATAATCAGCTAAAGAGATTTCTTAAGGTGGCAAAACTAGAAGGCAAATTAGTTTTATGATTTCAAAGAATTAGCTGACTATTCATTTATTATGTTTTCAGACTACTTAAAACTCTCAAAGGAAAAATAATGGTCCGGTATAGTGCTGTAAGGCTTCCTTTATGGACACAGTAAGCCATTTAATCTTGACTTGCTCAATTGTTTTTGATTTCCTGCCACTAATATCCATCATTGAAATAGTAGTTGTGATTAATAGCATTTTGCCCAATAACAAAAAGCATTTATAATGTATACCTGGAAAATATTCTAAAATGCAGAATAACATTAAAGTTTAAAAACTTAGCCACTGAAAAAAATCAATATCTGTTGGGAAAGAGGGCTATAAAGCCACTTTCAGAGAGATGGAAGATAAACTTCCAGCTTTCCATTAATATTAAGAACGTGGCTGAATGTACCTTCAAGAGAATATACTGGGAATGTTTTTCATCCCTTTAAGATGAGGCATACCTAGAATATACTTATCGAACTGTATGTTCAATTAAATAGGTAATATAAATGTTTTATTAGCAAAATCCCCACCCATCTCTTCTCCCATTCATTTTCTACCATTAAACTACAAATTATAGATGGTGGTAGCAACAGTGCAGAGAGGGCAGGGTAGACTCAGAAAAGCAGTCATATCCCAAACAAGATTCTGCCACATTCTCTTCTCTGGTATCAATACTCATGAGATAAAAGCAAAACTGACAAGACAGGGGATGTGCATGTACATTTGGAAGGATTCTTGCAAAAGGTTTTCAACCTAGAAAAGTTTCCAGAATGAGGAGGGAGGGTTCTTATATAAACCTGAACAAGGAGTCAGGTCTAGCTAATCTTGGAAGGGAGGTCTACTTAAGAGAGAAGTCTCAGGTTGTAAACATCCAGGAGGAGGAATCAGTGAGGCACACTTTCTCAACACCCTGTCAACAAGGACCAGGGGAAGGCTTTGCTATTCCCATGGGTCTGAGGCACTGAGGTCCTTGGCATGTCTGTTTCATATCACATAATTTACTTGGAACTTCATCTGCTCCCCCAAACCTCCTAAGTGGTGGGATTAAAGGGCAGACTCCTATGCCCAGTTTAATGAGTTATTGTACTGTCATAGACATATATCTGTCATAAGAATACATCACAATCACTGCCTGCCTCCTCCTGGGTCCTATCTTTGTAGTCCACCATCTAATTACTACATGTACTAAGCTGGCTTTTAATAAATATGTGAAATTGAGTAGTTAAGAAATTAAAGATGGAACAAGACATGGGAGCTTGTTCTATGATTAGTTATATCTTGTCTATAATACTACAGTTCTAAGTCACATCGTTCTCACTGTTTGAAAACAGCTGGTACAACTGTATACTAAGTTTGTCTTTAATCTTTATTTCTAACTCCTTCCCAAAAAGAAGCACAATGAAAACTGAATTCCAAAAGTACCAAAGCAGTTGAATGACCTGGAAATCACTATAGTTCAGGCTAACCTTAAATAATGACTCTTTTTCTGCCTTAGCCTGCCAACTGTTGGGACTATAAGGATGATTCCTTATAATCCTGGCTTAAAGATGTGTGTGTACATGCATGTGAGCATGCTTGAATGTGTGTGTGTGGGGGGGGGCATGAATTGAATTAAATCTATGTTTTCATGCATGCTAGGCAAGTAAGTACTCTATCACTGAGCTACACTCCCAGCTCTAATGAAAATTTGGCTTAAAAAATCCCTATCAAAGGAACAGAGAGATGGCCCATTGAGGAAAGGCATTTGCTGCAAAGCCTAATGACCTGTATTTGATCCCAGGCACCCACAGAGTAGAAGGAGAGAACCCACTCCCACAAGTTGTCTGCCCTCTAACCTACACACATGCACCACAGCACACACACAAATAAATGTGATTTTAAAAATAGAAAGAGAATCCCTGTAGAGAGCGAGGAGATGGCTCAGTGGGTAAAGGCACTAGCCATGAAAGCCTGACAATCCTGGAGCTCCTGTTAAAGGCCAGATGTAGTGGTACCCATTTGTAGTCACAGCAAGATGGAGGCAGAGATAGAACCTTTTGGAAACTGACCAGCCAGCTGGCCTGAATAGCCTGCAGCAGAAAGAAGAAAGACTTTCAGCGGGGTTAAAGCTGAGAACTAACTCGTAAAACTTGTCCTTTGGCCTTGACTTGCATGTAGTGGGAGATGTGCCCACATGCACTCTCTCACACACAAATATTATGTTTTAAAACTTAGGAGATTATTGTATAAATATATAGTATATAATATTCTTTTCTAGGGGGAATTTGAGACAGGGTCTGGTACATAATATTCTAAAAAGAGAAGTAAATGCTAATTATTTTAATCACTTAATTTGTTTGAAATAATCACCAGTAATCTTCAAAGTGAATTGTTGTAGCCAGAAGAGTTAAGTGAATTAATCTGTAATTTATGTAGAATTCCCAGTATGTCCTTTAGAGTTTGCCAATATGTTCAGTGATTAAACACATTAGGCCAAAGTAGTCATTCTATCTCTGCCTTGATGGTTGAGGGACAGTTACTGGAATAGAGGTTATCTTTGAACCAAGCAAATTGTTGCTATTAATCACGGCAATAACTGCGGAGTTAGATGCTCTCGCTGTAGCATGTGGTTGCCAAAGATAGGCTTCCGGATACCACGTGTTTACTATCAGCTTTTAGTCAAAATGGCCAGATGACAGACTCTTGCTTGGTTCACTTGGTTTTGACCTATTAAGATAACAACTTTACCATTTTAAAAGTATTTTTGTTCATAGACTATTGTGTGGTTTGAGGCTTTTTGAAAAGTGAATGTGTTGATTTCTGTTTTTAATGTTCCTGTGACTGTTGGCAGAGACTGAGAATAGCCAAAGTTGAATAGAATGTAGTCTCTCTCTCTCTCTCTCTCTCTCTCTCTCTCTCTCTCTCTCTCTCT